TGGCATGATATTCCAATTGAGCAGAAATATTTAGAACCAAATTACTTAATGTTTCTCGCCCTTGCCAATTTAATTTTTGAGGTTAGACATACTGGAGGACTTTAGAAGGGTCCTAGGAGGAACATTTCTGTCTAAAAAGAATGATTTTTTTTCCAAATCTGTAATTTTATTGGTATAAGAAACCCACAGGAGCAAATTCCCTCTATCAATGCAAGTCAATCAACAAGCATTTATTAAGTTCCTGCTTTGTGCCAGGCATTGTGCTAAACACTGGGGATACAAAGAAAGGCAAAAACCAGATCCAGCCTTCAAGGAACTCATAGTCTAATGGGTAGATCAGCATCTTCTCTTCAGTATATATTCTTAGAGAGTTGCCTAAGGCACTGAGAGATTAAACAACTTGCCCAGGGTCACACAGCCAGTAGATGTCAAAGTCAGAACTTAAACCTAGGTCTTCCTGATCCAAGACTCTCTATCCACTATGACTAACATATCTCTCATTAGAAACTGTATATCAAAATAAGCACTGGGAGTGATGATGATGATGATGATGATGATGATGATGATGATAAAAGTGGCTTCAGTGTTTTAAGGTTTGCTAAGTGCTTTACTGATATCTCATTTTATCCTCACAACAACACTGAAAGGGAGGTGTTGTTATTACCACCATTTTACAGATGAGGAAGCTGAGGCAGACAGAAGTTAAGTAACTTGTGTAGCATCATACAGCTAGTGTATTTGAGGCTGGATTTAAGCTCAGATCTTTCTGACCCCAGGTCCAATACTCTACTGAGCTATCTAGCTGCCCTCAGAAGACAAAAACACTTGAACCTAGATCTTCTTAACTTTGAAGCTGACTGCTATACCATGCTCCCTCTGTGAAAGCACTGTTAAGAATTATAATGATATTTATTTAAAACAAAAGGTATAAGTATACAACATGACTAGGGGGTCTATTATGGAACTAATTTTGCTTAGAAATACCTCCAAATGAGTTTTTCAAATACATGTTTTGTGAATATTGAAAGAACATTTCATCAAATGTATCTTTCTTTAATGTATGTGTGTATGCACATATGTGTGAAAGGAAGAGTCATACATTTGATGAGCCATTCTAAAATATCAGATAAATTTATAACTCATTTGGGTTAACTTGAGAAGAAGCATGGGATAGTGAGTAGTAAGGAAGGAAACCTTAGGTTCAAGTACTAACCCCTGACAATTGAAAGTTGGATGATCATGGACAAATAACTTACTTAGCTTTTCTGAGCGTCAGGTAGTTCTTAATATATTAATTTATAGATGAGTTGTCATATACATTAATGGAGTGAATTCCTATGTAGCAAACCAGAGATTCTTGATTTATAGACTAGTTTACTTTTTTTAATTTATGGAATAAAACAAGCATTTCTATAACATAGTATAATAAAAAAAAAGATGATTGCACATGAAACTGCAAATCTATGTACAACTTGCTATTTCTTTTAAATATATAATAAAATTATCATATAAATTTTGGGCTTTTTCCTTTTTTTTCTTCCTCTCACTCCCTCCCTCCTACCCTAGACACAGATATGTATATGTATGTGTGTGTGTGTGTGTGTGTATACACACACACATATACACATACATCTGTACATATATGCATATATGTGTATATGTGCATATATGTGTGTATATATATGCAAAGATGTGTAAAATCATTCTATACATCTATTAATCAGTTCTTTTCTGGATGCAGATAGCATCTTTCTTCATAGATCCTTTGTAGTTAATTTGGGTATTTATAATAGTTAAAATGACTCATCCACTCAAAGTTGTTCTTATAATGATATTGCTGTTACTGTATACAACGTTCACTTAGTTCTGCTTACTTTGCTTTTCATTTTATGCAAGTCTATCCATGTTTTTCTAAGATCATCATTTCTTATACCACCATAATATTTCATCACAATCACATACCACAACTTGTTCAGCCATTCCCCAGTTGATGAGCATCCCCACAATTTTCAGTTTTTTGCCACCATAAGGAGAGCTGCTATAAATATTTTAGAACATATAGGATTTTTCCCCTTTTCCCCTAATCATCTTTGGAAATTGACCTAGTGGTGGTATTATTGCTGGGTCAAAGGGTATTTGCAATTTAATAACTCTTTGGGCATAATTCTATATTGCTCTTCAAAATGTTTGGATCATTTCACAATTCCACCAACAATGAATTGGTGTCCCAATTTTTCCACATCCCCTCCAACATTTGTCACTTTCTCCTTCAATCATTTGAGCCAATTTCAAAGGTATAAAATATTTCAGGGTTGTTTTAATTTTCATTTCCCTAATCAGTAATGATTTAGAGCATTTTTTCACACAACTATAAATGTTTTGATGTCTTCATTTAAAAATTGCCTGTTCATATCCTTTGACCATTTATCAGTTGGTCATTATTATTGGTTTATCAATTGGTAATTATTTATAAATTAACTAGTTTACTTGAACATGAAATTGGATATTACTTGACTACTAGTCATCAACTTCCTTGTGACCTAGTATTCCAAATTCCAGTTATACTTTTCTATAGTCTCTTATCTTAAGAAAAGGAGAAATTCTAATCTGTAAATCAGCCAATATAATATTTTTATGGCTTAAAAATACTAGTTTCTCCCCCACCTTTTTTGTATTCAATGATTTACAAGCTTTTATTATTTCTTTAATAAAAAAAAGTAGAATCACCCAAGTGAGATCATGTTGACATTTATATTTGTGTTATTAGTATTCTATGACTTATACAGACAGCATTAGAAACAAAAGAACTATTCATTTAGGCAGTTACTCCCTTGGCAAAATCTGTGTCCTTTATGGACACAAAAAGGGGGAAATGAATATTTTTTCCTATTCTGAAATATTCCGGGAATAATTTGATTCCTTTAAGCTTAGTTATGTGGGAAAATTACAATTCAAAATTCATTTTTGAAACCATATGTTTGTTTCTTTATATTTATGAATTACTTAAAGTTTTATCTGTTAGGAATTTAATGGATAAAAATAGAAACTTCTCAGACAAGCTTTAAAAATTCTCCATAATCCAGATCTAACCTATCTTTTCAATCATATTTTATATTATATACTCTTTTATATATTGTATTCTATGCAAGCTGGACTCCAAGCTGTTAGTGAACTGAACGTGCCATCTTTCACCCCTGCGCACTCTCCCCAGCTGTCCTCTGTGCTTGAGATGTGCTTTGGCCTCATCCCCATCAGCTTCATCTCTCCCATCTCATCTATACATTTTAGAGTCCATAAAGGCTTAGTTCAGATGCCAGTACATCTATAAAGCCAGCTCTGATATCCCCCAGTAGATTAATGCTCTCTCCTTTCTCCATTTATCTTGCTTTAAGTATCCCCTTATAAATATCTCCCAGCAAACTTTTTGGAGGGCAAGGGCTATTTCATTTTTTAATGTGTATCCCAAAGCCTGGAACTCTACCCTGCACATAGTCAATGTCTGATAATTATGTGGTGAGTTTAATTGAATTGAGCCATTAACTTTTAGCCATATGCTACAGTGCCTTTTCTAAAATTAGAAATCTATGGAAGAAAGTCTTAAAAGATTAAAACAAGATGTGTAGAGTTTCAAAGGCAGGGGTTCTTAACCTTTTTTCGTGTCATGGGCCTGTTTGGCAATTTGGTGAAGCCTATGAACCCCCTTCTCAGAATAATGTTTCTATCCAATGACACTGACCTTCTTGCTGTTCTCAGTCTCAGCTCTGGGCATTTTCTCTGGCCGTCCCCAGACCTAGAATTTGTTCCTCATCTCTTCCTCCTGGCTTCCTTTAAGTCCCAACTATCATCCTGCCTTTTACAGGAAATCTTTCCCAGTCCCTCTTAATTGTAGTACCTTCCCTCTGATAATTCTTTCCTACTTATACTGTGTTTAGTTTGTATATATTTGCTTGCTTATGGTCTCCTCCATTCATTTGTGAATTTCTTGATGGTGGAAACTGTCTTTTGCCTCTTTTTGTATCCTCACTGCTTAGCGCAGTACCTGTCACATAGTAAATGGCTAACAAATGCTTATTGACTGACTAAATGCATAAAATAAAGTATATAGGATTATGAAGGAAATCAATTATATTGACTTACAGTTAATTTTTTTTTAGAAAAACAAATTCATGGACCTCAAATAAAATCTCCTTTTCTAAGGAATATTTGCTGTCCAAAAACATTCTAAGTTTAAATGGTATTGTCATATTTGCTATGGAACGAATCCAGAGTCAGGATTTCCCTTAATTAGCTGCATAATCTAAGACTAGTGGTCAATTGAACTATGGTCTTCATTTAGTCCTGTTACTATCCTCTAATAATATATCAAATTTAAATGAAGTATTTGTCAAATTATGGATGATGTACCCATTTAGAAATTTTTAGCTATCAGTTTATTTCAAATTGGCTATCTGAAACACAAATTAAAAGTTTACCTTAATACTTGTCAGTAAGTTGGGCACTAAATTTCACTAAAATTGGTCAGTTATTTTGAAAGTTATTTTGGAGTGAATAATCATACTATAAATGCTTAGTGGTTAAAATGAAATGAAGACTTTAATACATTCATTACTTTGTTGCATTATGTTACTTTATACATCAATAGTATTATCCATTTTAAAGCTTTCTTTTTGTTTTAATAAAAGGTCTGTACTAAGAACAAATAAAGCAAGACAAATTCTGCACCACTATGAATTCTTTGTAAAAAAAAGTTACTAATTGTCCTTGAAAATTTTGAGAAATGAATTTTTAATGCTTTATTATAGCCATGTAGGATATGGTGATACTGTATATAGAAACAGATGCTGACAAGACAGCTTCTCATTATGAGTAATTCTGGGAATGTTTCCATAGTGTCACATTAACTTGTGAAAACTTAGCCCACCACTATACAGCCTTTTTTCAAAAAATTCTTTTCAGTGTTCTGCATTTTAAGAAATAATTTATTATTTTTATTTTTTTAGGCTGTACCAGATCCAAAAGAAATCAGAAGAGGCTCTGCCCTACTATGAAGAATCTTTGAAATATATTGAGAGTAGTAAAGGTGAAAAGAGTCAAGACTGTATCCCAGTATTGAAGGAGATGGCAGATGTGGAACAGGCCCTGGGAAATTATAATTCAGCAATTGACCATCTTGTACAGGTAAAGACAATGGACTGCCAAGTATGTATCTTTTTTTTTTTTTGAGGCAATGGGGGGGGTTAAGTGACTTGCCCAGGGTCACACAGCTAGCTAGTAAGTGTCTGAGGCCAGATTTGAACCCAGGTCCTCCTGACTCCAGGGCTGGTGCTCTATCCACCGTGCCACCTAGCTGCCCCCTGAAGGCACCTATAAAATATTCAAATTATAATACCTCACATTTGTATAGCACTTTGAGATTTGCAAAACTCTTTCCATACAACCTTTCATTTGTTCCTTATAATAATTCTGTTGTGAGGTGAGCATTATTATTATCATCCTTATTTTACAAATAAAAAGACAGAGGCTCAGAGACTACGGTCAATATAGCTCATAAGTATCTCAGGTAGGATTCAAATTTAGGTCTTTCTGACTCCTGACTTAAAGTTCAACTCTATCCACTGCACCACACAGGTTCACAAAGAGTCATATAGAGTAGTGGTTCCTAGCATGTCACTTTATACATAGAAGGCTCTCAATACATGTATATTGAATTATAATTGAGTTTCAAACATATATAACTCTATCATTACACCATGCTAGGAATAATTAGGTTCATAAAATTTTAGAACTGGAATGGATTTTTGGAATCTTCTAGTCCAACCCTTTCATTTTATAGTTGAAGGAAGTTAGGCGTAGAGTGTTTTGCCCAATTATCTGTAAAATATATGCAACTGATAAATATTGTTTAATTACATTGATTTGAATCCCCTATATGTTTAGTAAACATACAGTGGGAGATGCCTCTTCCAGCTTAGAACCTTTTTAGAGCTTAATATGTGTGGGCATAAAAAGTCCTTGTTATTTTATATCGTATTAGATATGAAATTTAAATAATAAATTACATTTGCTAGATATTCTTTTGCACATTAACTTGGAGCATTGCTAGTCATGCTAATCTATAGTTATTCTTCTCCATAAATTGAATTCTGTTCAAATGTTAGGATTTTTATGAGTATTTCTTTTCATTGCAACATTCCTTCATGTCTTTGAATTCTTAGACCATGTTTTAAAATGAAAATGTATTTCTCTGATATTTTTATGTTCAATTAAAAATTCATGATCACAGTAAGAATAACAGATCCATTGATTTCAACTGGAATACAAAATGGCTGGTCACCTGCAGATTACTGAGAAACTTCCTCATACCTTATTCATTCTGCCATATCAGTATAGTTATCCCTTCCACATTGCCGGGATTAGAGGCATAGCACAGTGCCCCCATGATCTGGAAAATCCACATAAAGTTTTTTGGCCCTCTCTTCCTAACAAAGAAGAAATCTGAATTTTTTTCTTTTTCTTTTATGGAGTTTTTACATTATCTTATTGTAAAATTTGGGTTAAATATTTGGGCATGACTCCGCATCATCTCATGGCCTTTGCCTGTCATCTGCAGCTTCTGTGAAACTCCTCAAAATTCTTCTTTTATTTCTTATGCTGACCCACAATATAATGAAACCATGATGAGGAAAGTCATAATATGGAAAGGATAACTATATTCTTTCTATTGTGCCACAGATAGACTGCCTTTTTTCCTCCTGTCTCTTAAATCTTCAAGGGCTGAGCTCAGAGTAACTCCCAACGTGTCATTCTCAGCTTTATCCCACTTTATGATAAAGTTCGAAAGGCTTTATATAGATAAATTCTCAAAATCTACATAGCCATTTGGTGAGAAACATTTTCAATTTAATTCACTTCAACAAATATTTATTTTTAAAGCATCTACCACTAAGGTAGGCCCAGAACAAACATAATAACAATACCAAAGCAATCCCTGTCCTCAAGAAACATTCAACTATAAAGATACAAAAAGTATGTTGTAAATATGAACTCTAATTATTAAACATTTAGCAAGGCTACAGTTTTTGTTAGAAACTCCTTGTAAGTTATATAAAGGTACAGTGTGATTTCCTCTTTCTTTAAAAAAAAAAGATTCCAGTCTCATAGAGTCAGAGTGCATTTTACTAAATGCACATAAAGGAATATTGTTCTTTTTATGTTTCTTCCTCCTCCCTCACCCCACCTCCTGCTTTAAGACTTTTCATTCCTTTGTGGTGACAGAAATGCCCAAAGAAAAGTGACCATTTTTCTCCACTGCTTAAAAACATTCCAAGATATATTGGTATCAAAAATGTGAAAGAGGACTGCAATAAAATGGGACCTACTGAGCTACTATACAGAGAGCTCCTCAAACTGGACAGCTGATGAATGAGCTAGTTCAATAGCCATCAGTTATTGCCTGGCAGGTAGTTGTGAGAAAGCTGCACAAACATCATGATTTCTGGAACTCCTCATGACAGAATTTGGCAATAGAAACTTACTTTCCTGCCCCTCCCCCCCAAAAAAAGTCATGGTATTTCTTTTCTGTTTCTGTCTTGTAGATATGTGTGTTATGAATTCACTTATTGCCTTCTCTTGTCTCTATGACTTGAACCACATAGTTCTCCTTTCAGTTTTCAATGAATTTTATGTGCCAAAAACTAATTAAAAATTCCGTGGCAATAGATTTTGGGGAAAAAGAAAGAAAGAGACATGATATTTACTCATCAGTTGTTCTGAAGATAAATAATTGTGTCAGAGAAGACCCTCAGAGCATAGTGAATAGTTAACAATATCTACCTGTATGTAGCAAAATAGCATAATACCCATCAAGTAAATAATTAAAATGTGACAATGGTTCTATGAGGAATTCATTCCACAAGAAGATTATTTTTTCTTTACAAGTATTGATGAAGCCCTCAGAATGACTTAACAGATTGAAAACTGGTACCTAGCTACAGTACTTTCCCTAAAGTCTCTCAGCATAGCTTTTTTCTTTATTTTATTTTGTTTCTTTTTTAGCAAATACCCAAATTTAGATGACACCTACAAGTACTGTACCATATAAATGAAGGGTAGCATGATTTAGTAGAACACTAGGAGGGAAATCATGAGACCTAGGTTCTATTTCTAATGACCTTAGATGCTTCAATTCTCTAGGTGTCAATTTTCATATTGTACTATGAGAAGTTTCTACTAAATTATCTACAAGGTCCCTTCCAACTCTTAAAATTCAAAGATTCTACATGAATTTAACATCCAAGCCTGACATCTTTTAGTCTTAATTTTTCGCTTAATGTACATTACTATATAGTACCTCAGTGCTATAGTACTGAGTACCTCAGGGGGAAATCATAGGTTTATGTGTCTAGTCTAACCTCTTAATTTAATAGATTAGAAAACTAAATCCCAGAAAAGTTAAGAAACTTTCCCAAGTTTACAAATGCAGAGTATAATGGAAAAACTTCAAAAGCTTTTCATTTCTCATAGGAGGCTAAAACAATAGCCTCTTATTTGGTCTGCCTGTCTCAGGCTTCTCCCCACTCTAATCCCTTCTCCATACTGCTGCCAAAGTGATATTCCTAAAATCTGGAAGTGTCATGCACACCTCCTTTTCCCTATTCAATGTTTTTCCATTATATCTAGAATTAAATATTAGTTTCTCAATTTGTCATTTAAATCTTATCATAACCTGGCTTATTCCTACGTTTCCAGGTTTGTTCCACATTGTTCTTCTCCATGTATTCATCATCTGGACTCATCTCTGTTCTGTACCTATGATGCGTCATCTCCTGTCTCTATTCCTTTGAACAGGTTGTCCTCCATGACTGCAATGTGCTCTCCCTTCTCACCTCTGGCTCTTAGAATTTCTGATTTCCTTCAAGATTCAGTTAAAATGGCACCATGTATTGTAGCCTTTCCTAATCAGGTGCTAGTTCATTCCCAAACCTCCCTGTATTTATTTCATATATGTTATGGATAATACTTATAAATATATGCATATGTTATATCCTCTGTTAGAATGTGAGCTCCTTAAGGACAAAGACTTTCACTTTTGCTTTGGTATTCCCAGTGCTTAGCATAGTACCTGACTCAAGCACTGAATAAATGCTTATTTAATAATTGATTAATTGGATCTAGAGCCTCAGAACCTTGATGCCTGTTTGACCTTTGGAAAATCAGTTAACCTCTCTAGCCCTCAGTTTCCTCATTTGTAAAATGAAGGGGTGAGACTAGATGACTCCTAAGGTCTCTTTTAATACAAATAAATTTTATTCTTTCTAACAGAATCAGAATTTGTTTGCTTTTAACATTTTAAATTTATTTTTAAAATACTGAACTTAACAAACACCAAATAAAATGGGCATGCCCATATACAAAATAGAAAAGAAAAAGAGGATCGCACATGAAATTGAATATTACATGTAGTTTGCTTTTCCTTTTAAGTATATAATAAATTCAAGACATAACTTTCAAACCTATCTTGCTTGTTTGTATTTCCTTCTGGCTTTCCTTCTGTTCTCTTCTCTGCATTAAAAAATGCTATAATGATTTTTTTTGACAACCTTTTGGATAGCCTTCTGCTCTCCCCAACTTCCTTTACAATTTGAAACAAAAAAAGAAAAACAATATGCATAGGCGAGCAAAACAAATTCCCACATTGCCCATGTGTAAAAATGTATGTCTCATTCTGCTCCTATCATCTCTTTATTAGGAGGTAGAGAGCACTGCTCATCATTACTTGTCTGGAATCTCAACATTCTGTTGGTCATAATTCTTAAGTCTTTCAAATGTAAAATGTAAAATTGATTTTAATACTATTTTTGAGACTTAAGCTATCATGGATTTAATACTCTCCTAAACCTTTTAAGTCCAAACTCCTTACCTTTGTAACCTCAACCTTCACCTATATTCCAGAGAAACTTGCCTAAAGGCCAACTTTTTGTCTAGTAATTACCTCCACTTGTGAATTGAATCTCCACACCCTTGTGTCTTTGTAACCTCACCCACACTACCCACTTAACTCAAATTCAAGTTAATTTCAATTGTGAGCCCTAATTTACTACACCTAAATCTTGCAGATCCTATCATCCAAGGATTACTCCCATCTTTCAATGAGGAAGTAATGAGGAGGAGCTGAGAGG